CAATTCCTTGCAATGGTAACCTCTGGTTCCCAGGTTGGGAACCGTAAGTTTCAAGGTCTGGGAACCGGCAGTTCCTTGCCATGGTAACCTTTGGTTCCCACGTTGGGAACCATCAGTTCCAACCTTTTCTATCTGGGGTCTATGCCGGTGTAATTTTACTAAAATTGTCCTGGATTCTGCTAGCCTGAACATTCTGTGGAATTTTATGTTGTTGTTAATTCCTGGAAGTTGTGTGGAACTGTCTTGGACTTGTTTTGACCTGTCATTGAAATTGTTTGGATTTTGTTGGAATTTGATTCGAACTGTCTTATTTAAAATGGCAGGCCGTGTTGACGGCAAAATTGAGCCCATGAAAATCATCAAAGAAAAACACCTATGTTCACACCGGAGCCATGGAGCGAACGAGCCCCCCCGAAGAAAGCAGTATGAAGGCGGGGTTGTATTCGTTGTGCCGGCAAATCGAAAGTCAAGTACGTCAACGCATGTTAGCGTTGTTAGTGAGCAACAAAGAACACACACACGCACAACATAAAAAATATTGTGAACAAAACAAAACTGATTGCTGATGATTTCTGTACATCATTCCACAAGGCTGTTGCTCAGGCAATCCCAGGTCCTCTCAGGCCTCACCCGTCGTCGTGGCGGTGGCGGTGGCGGTCATCGTGACGGTGGTCGTCGCAGTAACAGTGGCGGTGGCACTGCACGAAACAGTGCTGCCGCAGCCGTGTTCTGTAGCTTTGCTTGCTCAGTACTCGATCGCCGAAGAGCCCAGTGACACATCTATGTTGATCCCATCAATCGTAGTGACTGATGGAGGGTTCACGGCCATGTCATAGTCACAGCATGGCGCAAAGCACTCGAGGAAAGTGGTGATTTCATTGCAATCTCCTGCCAATGCCTTGGAGTTGTCTAAGGCACTAATGCAGGAATCTACCACCGAACGGCTGCACGTGGTGTCCACGGTAAATACATCGCTGCCACAGCCTTGCAAAGTGCCCATCAGGAAAGCCGTCAAGGAGACAGTGACAGCCATCGAGAAGACACTCATTGCCGAGGACTTCATACCGAACCAATCAGCGGTCAATGGGGCGAATTGGCTGTCTTGAACTGAGAATCGCTGAGGGAGGAATCTCATTGATCTGCTTTGCGCCGAAGCTTGGAAACCTACGGGTGAATTGGCTACCCTCTGGTAAATTCACATAGCGAACTGGAAAATCACAATTTTTAATAGGTAAATCCACTATAAATGGGTGTGAAATAGTTTTAGGATTTTTTTTTTGAGCAGGTTTGGGATTTTTTTTTGGATTTCTTGGCTGGTACCATTTGCCTAGTGTTTGCAACGGTTTGGAACTTGAATTTGTCATTTTGCATGGTATTTGCCACATTTGGGCATGTTCACCTTCCATTTTGCATGGGATTTACTACATGTGGGCATGTTCACCTTCCATTTTGTATGGTATTTGCCACATTTTGGCATGTTCACCTTCCATTTTGCATGGGATTTCCTACATGTGGGCATGTTCACCTTCCATTTTGTATGGTATTTGCCACATTTTGGCATGTTCACCTTCCATTTTGCATGGGATGTTCTACATGTGAGCATGTTCACCAAAATATTTACAGATGCGGAAGCTTGGGATTAGATAAAATGCGGGTGGGGGGGATTGAGGGAGGGCGCTAGCTATCTATCCAGCTAGCTAGCTATCTAGCTATGTAGCTAGCTATCTATCTAGCAAGCTAGCTATCTATCTAGCAAGCTATCTATCTATCTAGCAAGCTATCTATCTATCTAGCTATCTATCTACCTATCTAGCTAGCTATCTTGCTAGCTATCTATCTGCCTATCTAGCTATCTAGCTAACTATCTATCTAGCTATCTAGCTATCTAGCTTTCTATCTATCTAGCTATCTATCTATCTAGCCATCCAGCTGTCTATCCAGCTATCTAGCTATGGAGCTATGTAGCTAACTATCTATCTAGCTATCTAGCTATCTAGCTTTCTATCTATCTAGCTATCTATCTATCTAGCCATCCAGCTGTCTATCCAGCTATCTAGCTATCGAGCTATCTATCTAGCTATCTATCTATCTAGCTAACTATCTACCTATCTATTTAGCTATCTATCTATCCATCTAGCTATCTATCTAGCTACCTCTTTATCTATCTAGCTAGCTAGCTATCTATCTATCTAGCTATCTATCTAGCCATCTATCTATCTAGCTATCTATCTAGCCATCTATCTATCGAGGTATCTAGCTATCTATCTCTCTAGCTATCTATCTATCTAGCTGGCTATCTATCTATCTAGCTATCTATCTATCTATCTAGCTATCTATCTACCAAGCTATCTATCTATCTATCTATCTATCACATGTAAACCTGTCAGCTTTCCAGAGAAGGTTAGTTCGCAAAAACCAACTAATGTAACTTGGGTTTAAGTTTAAATAAAAAAAAAACGGGAGGGGGGGGGATTGGGGGGAGGGCGCAGCGCCTCCCCCCAAAGCAGAATGCAAGCACCTCTTCTCACATGTTACGTTGCTAGTTTTCAAGAGAAGGTTGGTCATGTGATACTCAGGGATGTAAATACTGTGCAAAATGCATCTTACATGAAAATCAAGTATTTAAAGCAGGCAAAGCAAAAAAAAAAAGCAGAGAAGCAAAAAAGCAGAGAAGCAAAGAAACAGGAAACGCACAAAAGCAAAACAGCAGAAAGGAAAAGAAGCAGGAAAAGCAGAAAAGCAGAGAAGCAGGAAAAGCAGGAAAAGCAGAGAAGCAAAGAAACAGGAAAAACAGAAAAGCAAAAAAGCAGAAAAGCAGAGAAGCAGGAGAAGCAGGAGAAGCAGAAAAGCAAAAAAGCAGAAAAGCAGAGAAGCAGAGAAGCAGGAGAAGCAGAAAAGCAAAAAAGCAGAAAAGCAGAGAAGCAGGAAAAGCAGGAAAAGCAGGAAAAGCAGGAAAAGCAGGAAAAGCAGGAAAAGCAGGAAAAGCAGGAAAAGCAGGAAAAGCAGGAAAAGCAGGAAAGCAGAGAAGCAGGAAAAGCAGGAAAAGCAGAGAAGCAGGAATCCAAAAATAATTCCTAAACCTGATCAAAAAAAAAATCCTAAAATAATTAGCCCTCCACTATAAATGGGCAATTTTCAATAGCTTTTTGTATGTTTACCAGAGGCCCTCCCAAATCTGCAACAGAACAACGAAATCCAGCTGGGACTCCAGACGGAAATGGCAAGTGGCAAGAGCTTGTCAACGAGAATGACGAAAAAAGGCGAGCATTCAAGAATCAACTGGAAAAAACAACAGTAAGGTGTCAGAGTATGCACATATTAAACACACACACACATATATATATATATAATATACATATCGAGTTAAGTTATGGCACCTTTGCCAGACTTCGCCACCGCAGTCTGGACAGCACCCTGCACAGCACCTTTGCCAGACTTCGCCACCGCAGTCTGGACAGCACCCTGCACAGCACCCTGCACAGCACCCTGCACAGCACCCTGCACAGCACCTTTGCCAACTCGCCACCCCGCAGTCTGGACAGCCCCTGTCACAGACCCTGCACAGCACCTTGCCAGATCGCCACCCCGCACTAGTACAGCCACCCCCCTGCACAGCACCCGCACACACCCTTCAACACAGGCCTCTGCACAGCACCGTGCACGCAGCCAACACCTTGCCAGACTTCGTCCACTGCAGTCTGAACAGCACCCTGCACGCAACCCTGCACAGCACCTTTGGCCAGACTTCGCCCACCGCACTAGTGAAGCACCCTTCAACAGCACCTTTGCCAGACTTCGCCACCGCAGTCGGACAGCACCCTTCACAGCACCTGTGCCAGACTTTCGCCACCGCAGTCTTGCACCGCGACCCGCACATCACCCTGCACAGCACCTTTGCCAGACTTCTCCGCCGCCGTCTCAACAGCACCCTCCACAAGCACCCTCCACAGCAAAGCAACCCTGCACAGCACCTTTGCCAGACTTCGCCACCGCAGTCTGGACAGCACCCTGCACAGCACCCTGCACAGCACCTTGGCCAGACTTCGCCACCGCAGTTTGGACAGCACCCTGCACAGCACCCTGCACAGCACCCTGCACAGCACCTTTGCCAGACTTCGCCACCGCAGTCTGGACAGCACCATGCACAGCACCCTGCACAGCACCTTTGCCAGACTTCTGGACAGCACCTTGCACAGCACCCTGCACAACACCTTTGCCAGACTTCGCCACCGCAGTCTGGACAGCACCCTGCACAGCACCCTGCACAGCACCTGTGCCAGACTTCGCCACCGCAGTCTGGACAGCACCCTGCACAGCACCCTGCACAGCACCTGTGCCAGACTTCGCCACCGCAGTCTGGACAGCACCCTGCAGAGCACCCTGCACAGCACCTTTGCCAGACTTCGCCACCGCAGTCTGGACAGCACCCTGCAGAGCACCCTGCACAGCACCTTGCACAGCACCTTGGCCAGAGTCTGGCTCAAAAGTTCGCCACCGAAGACTCCACCTTTGAGAAGTACCCCTATAGCTGGCCAGCTTTCTGGGGAAAAAGGCAACGTCCAACACTTGACACATCTCCCAAGCCATTTTTGGGGTGCAGTGTGGGTTTTCCACAAGATTGACATGGATTGAATCCATGTGGTCCTACTCCTAGAGGCCTTTCAATGCAACATTATAAGATTGCAGGCAGCCAATTTGTGTCAAAATAAAGTCATAGGCCAGCTTAAAATGTTAATTTTGAGTTCTTCGATATGGCGGTGGCTGTGTGGTACTCACATTTTTCGTTCTTAGCACCCCTCTCACAATATCTCACAAGTAACACGGAGAGAGGTCCAACGGCCTTCATTCAGATCAGTTCCAATGGAAATGAATGGTGGGATTATGTGCAAACCCGTTTCTGTCCAACAACAAGGTCGCTGAAAGGTGGAAAAGGAAAATGCAAAGCGGCGAATCTTTTACAATCAATTTGAATTCCCAGGAGGGGACATTCCCAAACGTGCTCAGTAGTCAGCGAAATGTGCATGACGTTTCGGACAAACCGCATTCAGCAGGCAAAATGTAAACATCTCCCTTCTTGGTTGGCTCCCAATTTTCCTGCGGAAATCGCAGCTCAATGTCCCTCGCGCGCTGCATGATCCTATTTTTTGTAGGAAATGCAGTGCAAGCTGCCATTGAGCTCCCTTCTCGCATGCAGACACTGCGATGCCCAAGGAGACAATATCCTGCATGGCCCGCATGGGCCGTTTCAAACAAAGAACATGGCACAGAATTTTGTTCAACTGACAATGAAAGGATTGTTTTTGTGCTCGTGAGTCTGTGCAGCTGGGGAATCCAACACTCAACCAAATGACCAGTGTCCAACTGGGTGTTGATCAAACAATATCAAAGCCCTTTCGGGGATGCTCCAGCAGCAAAACACGTGCTCGTGAAAGTCGTGAACACCAGTTTCCCACAGTTTACTTAACAACCGCAGAATTCTGATCAATTCTGCCTTATCAGAATGCCAAGGTATGCCGCCAAAATATGCCAAGTATCTGGTTGAATCATCTGCTTAGGCATCTGAAGCCACAGCAACAGTGCCATCTGCCACACCGAGGCGGACATGGCGGAACTCGTGGCAGAGTTGAAGCTCACCACGCTGGGCTCAATACGGTCACTACGGTCACTGCCCGACATGTGATCCAACAAAGCCTCGCGGCGACGCTCATGGGATCCAGTGATCTCACCCCACTGCATTCGAATACTAATGATTTAGCTGAAGCAGGTGGGAAGTTGGTGGAGCAGGCGGTCCAATGTCGCCGGAGTTCTCCAAAACACTGGAACCAAATCTGGCCAAATGGAAATCCGTTGTTCAACAATTGTCAAAATCGTCAGAATGCCACGTTCTCACGTTCACTGTCAAGTGCTGCCGAGAAGCCAGTGCCATGACCCACACGCTGGCATTTTCGCAAGCAGCCAGGCAGCTGTTGAAACATCTCGTGTCAATGGTCTCAGTCAAGGTATGAAGGGAAACCGAGAGAAGATCTACGGCACGTCGCCATTGGGCGGCTGCGCCACAGGCAGAGATGGCTGCAGTAAAACTCACCACGTCAGGGCCTTGGAAGAACTGCGACTGCAAAGAAAAAAACAAACCGAAACCAAAATTGGATGATTGACATTGACTATTTAGTGATCAAGAAAGCATCGCACTGATTCAATCCCACAGGATGATTCACCCAATTTGCTGCCGGGAATCGTTCCATTCGCCGCATGAGTCTTAGAGCTTCTTGCCAGCGTCCAGCAGTTGCCAAGGCGCTCAAGGCTGCATTGAAACAAATCAAATCTCTGTTGATCCGCTCGTGGCACATCTCCTCCAACAACATCACTGCTATCTCCCAAGACTCGCGGCAGGCGTGCAACAGGCTGCCGTATAGCACCGTATCGGGGCGCAATGCCAACGTCACAAGGCTGTCCCTCAAACGACGGTAGACTCAGGAATCCAGAGCCGTGATTGAAGACTTGGCTATTGAAGACTTGGCTGAGGGGAATCACGAGGTGCCAAAAAATGATAACGAAAACTACAACATGATCAACATGTTCATTAACGTATACATTGGCGGTAGGAAATGCCCAATACAAACACAAGTGGAATGTGCTAAACCACTACACGGCTACGTTGTGCAAACTCACCCAATCTCACCCAAGTCTAACCTGAAAGGTGCTGTGCGTGATGAGCGATGGAGCCCAAGCCCGTGACATCTGTGTCTCAAAAACTGTTGAAGTGTCCTAGGCAGAAAAGAGCACCAGCTTCCTTTTATGGTACATTTTGGGCAGGCTGAACTGATTTCAGCAGTAATGGTCTACCAAGCCTCACCACCATTGACTGATCCCACACATGTCAGAATGTCATAGGAAGGAAACCAATGAAACTTTTGAAAATCGGCAAACTGCAATCGGTATTTAAAAAATGTGTCACATCCCCAAAAATGATCGCCGCTGTTTGCCCGTCACCTGCAAAAACGGAACCAACGGCCTAAACTTTTGTACCGAGGCTCTTGAAGTGCAAAGCTTGATGCCATCGCGGCCCGGCACCGCAAGCCGCAATCACTGCACCCAGATGGATGACGTTCAGCTGCACGCGCCAGACCTGTGCGAGAGCCAGCAGTTCGAACACGTCCCGAGGAGCCTCAGAAGCGAGATGCAGCTGGTATCTTCAACGTGGTCATGATGCATGAATTGGCCTAAGTCCGAGGCGATGTGTTTTTAGCGAGAAATAAATGAACGGAAAAAAGTGATCCACGGTGAAACCTTGCAATTGCATACATATACGGCGTTAAAAAACACCAAAATCCCTGACGAGGAAACCGTCCACCACACCCAAAATAAATTTATGCATCAAGCAGCAGCACCACTGCCCAAAACACGAGTGAATGTGGATGAAAAGTGCCTGAAAAATGACAGGGTCGTTGTTGTCAACGTTGCTTCCAAAATGTGTTGTGACACTGGAAATGTGTATGAGGCTGAGGCTGCACTCCCATTCCAATTTGGTTTAATTGCACCCTCCACAAGTAATCCGACAACCGCCGTCTAAAAAACACAACAAAAAATCCATCAATGCTATGACACAATCAAGGGCAGAAATTTGTAAGCGTCAGCCATTACCTCGTCAATCGCATTAAACGCCTAAACACTGCACTGAAAAAATCGAACGTTGCCTGCATCCTGCTTTTGATGGGTGCAAAACATGAAGCAATTTGCGGCACAGACTTGGGACAATTGGCTGTAACATGTGAACGATCTACCCTGAGCAAAACAGAGCTAGCATCTGCGAACAAATGCCCTGACATGTACACCAACAAACACGATACAAAACGGTATGTTCCGATTATTGCACGCCAATTATTTTTGTATGTCGTTTTTGTTTCAACTGTTTTGCTTGAAGGTGTGTCGGCATTTTGTTCAACATTTTTTTCCGCCGTGGGTGGGGTTGTCACGTCGCAAAGCGCTGCGTTCCCATGCCGTGGTATGTGGTCAGCGCGCGGCACAGGTCTATCCAACACATTCATCACACTAAAGACAACCTTTACAAATAACGATTTTTCTGCATGTAGGGAATCTTCTTGCCGTGCATCGATGCAGCACATCAAGACAACCGCTTACAGTAAAACTGCTGTCAAAAAGTTCTGCAAAACTGGGCGCGGGAACTGGAAACAAAATGTTGTAAAAGATATGTCGGAAAACGCGCATTGCGGATGCTGCTTCACTGGAGTCCCAAATCGCAAACCGGAATACCAAAAACATATACATATACATATACATATACATTTACATTTACATTTGCATTTACATTTACATTTACATTTACATATACATTTGCATATACATATACATATACAGATACAGATACAGATACAGATGCAGATACAGTTACAGATACATATACATATACATATACATATACACAAACACACACACATTTACACATACATAGACATATACATTTACACTTACATTTACATTTACTTTTTTTTTCCGCACACCTTTTTCCGCCATGTCCATTTGGTCCCCCAAAAGCTTTGTGGTTGGTAGACTGTTTTTATACTGGCCAGTCTCCAGATTTGCGCGAAAGTCCAAGGCAAAGTCCAAAAGCAAGTCAATTCACCTCCAGCATTCGAAGCGCTAGTTTGCGTAGCTGCCCGGCATGCATCAGCAGCAGCTGTCGCTGCCTCAGCCACCATCCTAGCCAGTTGAACCATCCCGGCACGCCATTGCCATTCCCGTGACAAACTTGTGCAGCTGGTTGGAAACCGCCAGAAAGTACAAGACGTTGATCATGTTGTCCACTAGGAGGTCCATATGGTGATCCCACAGGCGTCCCTTGAGCTCCAGGATCTGGTGTCGCCATCCCTATATGCCACCAAGAAGTCGCAAAAGCAAAGATTTTTGTACATAAAGTCCGGGATCGCTTTTTTGAAAGTCGACAGAGCGTTGATGGTGCCCAGCTGAAAGATGCAAGCAAGTGGCCGGCAAGTCGAAGTCCAGCAATGATTGCAAGACCCCTGCTGCACCAGGTCAGAACGCTTGGTCTCGGTGCCCAAAATCGATGGCACCAAGAGAATGCCCTTTTTCCGTTAGAGGCTCCGCTGCCATGCAGGAAAACATTTCAAACAACAGCGGCCTCGATGCTCACGAATGTGAAATCTCCAATGAAATCCCGTGAAGTGACATGCCAAGGTGTGAATGGTTTTTTTTCCACACACCTTTTCTGCCAGCATCTCAGCACTGGGACCGTCTTGGTCCTGGTTATCGCTCAGCAAATTTGTATAAGTTGTTGGGGTGGGGTGGTTATAAATCCAGAGCCGCGGGCCCCCCCTCAAGGTCGAAGAGGGAGGCGTGATGCCGGGGGTGGGGCTCCGGGGTGGTGTTCGAGCAGGGTGCTCAGGGGTGGCATGTCACCATCAGGGGTGGTGTGTGATGCCGGATTTTGGAGGATGAGGCTGGCCGCAAATGGTGCTTGTGGTGCCATTGTGAGCATGGCGGACCAGCGAGCTATGGAGGCTTGGACAGCTGCCTTTCGTAAGGCTGGGACGACTGAGCGGTAACGAGCTTGTGCCAGGAGACGTAGGAAATCTGCTGCCTCCTTACTCCATTTGCCACCCACCTCCATTGCCAGGACCACGAGGCGGCAGCGAGCCCCGCCGACCAGTTCGGGATAGGTACGTTCTTTGGCTTGTCGCGCTGCCCGTAATGCTGGGGACCCAGGTTGGCGGCCTTGGGGGCGTGGTTCGCCCGAACTTGTTTTCTATTGAACAAAATTGTTTCACATTTCCCTTTGTTCTCAATTCTGTCAACATCCATTGGCTGAGGATTTTCATCAGCTTCCGTACAGCTCTGCAATCACTGCAGCACGCTTTCTGGAATCCATGCGCGCCGGGCTTTGTCATAGCCCAACATCGTCTCTTTGAGCTGCGCGTAGGTTGTCCGCTCATTGATGGTGATCTGCGGGTACTCTCGAAGCTTCTGTCTGCTGCAATTTTCAAGGGTTGCGATCTTCAATTCTCTGAAAAACAGGCAACGTGCTCACACCTCAGATTTTCCACTGCACTTTGAGCCACTTGTTGGGCCACGGGCAAGCACAGATTTGTGCGTGTCATCCTTGCACCAAGAGACAGGTCATGCTAATCTTCTCTGTATCGTTTCAACTGCCTACAACCTATCACATGGGTGTGAGTGCCATGACTGAAGTTTGACACCCCACCTTGGCAACATGTTCCTTTGAAACTTGTTGTCATCTTTGAAACTTCATGCATATTTTGACTGCATTTACAGTCAACTGTGCTGCTTAATTCAGCTTTTATCCTAGGTTTCCAAGGCCGCTGAAAAAAAAAATGTCTCTCACTTGGTTGAATTCGTTCGCCTGGGCTGTAGCAAACATTCCATTGCCTCATGCTTTGATTGCCTGCCACATGCCTTCAAGCTATGTCACGTAGGGTCTCAATTTCATGCATCGCTCGTGTGAATGTCGCAGCAGCTTCCCAATCTCCTTGTTCTTCAGCTTGAGCTCGTCGGCTCTGCAATGAAGCCAGCGCATTCTGAAGTCGAAGTTGGTTGGCCTGAGAAAAGGCCAGCATTCGGTCATGATCATATTCATCTCTATCTCCAAAGTGGATTGCCGCCCACTCATCTGGGTCGGAAACCTCTCCTTGATCTGACTCCAAATAGCGTCTCCTGCGATCTTCTTGGGTTTCTTCATCCATATTGATGTCCTCGTCCAACTCAGACTCACGAGCTGCACGGTCAACATGATGACCATTGAGATTTGCTACGTGTTGCAACGCAGCTTCAGCTAGATCCACATTCTCAAAGAGTTGAGGTTCAGGTTGGGCTTCCACATATGGTTCCTCCAATGTTGCAAGCGCTCCAACTGGAAACTGGCCACCAGTCAGATACTCGTCCAAACTTTCGTAGACACCCTCCATGTCGGTCATGAAGTCACCTTGTTGATTGGATTCCCTGAACCTGTCGTGCAAATAACAGATTTCTCGGCGAAGCATCCACCAGGCTAGCCACAAACTTGGTTTGATCAGCAATCGAAACCTGCAAGCCATCAATGCCGAAGCATGGCGAATCGTCACCATCCGCATCCATTCGTAGTGCTTCCAAATCAAAGGTCCTGATAGGAGAAATACCACTCCAGCAACCAATGAAAACATTCCCATGATCTGCGCCACCAGGAAGACAAACTTCATGAAGTAGTATGTGCAGCCGGTACTTGTGGTGACTGTCCATTCTGCCAGTGTCCACAAAGCCAGTTGCACGCCATCGCTGTTGGTCTCGTCCATGTCTCCACCTGCCACAGATCCATGATGGGAAAGGAAGTCACTGTTGCAACCTTTCAACTGCATGCACATGTTCATGCTTGCACCAGCCATTTGAATGAGTCTCATACACTGTTCCATAGTCACCCTATTGATCCTTCTAATGCGTCTGATCTCGTTGTCATCGTTTGTTTCACTGTCATTTGGAGAAAAGAGTCCAATGAGTTTTCCCAAGAACTTTCTGCGTTCTCCACTGAGACGTTTCGTGTTGAGATCTCCAGGGTTGATTTTGGTACTGATTTTGAAAATCGAAAATACACCAATCCGCAGCAAATTTTGCAAATAAAACTGCTTGATCTGGATGTGCTTCAATCTCCCTGTTCCAGTTCTGCGGATCAGTGCTAAGGCCGAAGACGAATCCATGAAAAGCTTCTGTTGTACCACCTCATTGCTTGTCTCACTTTCATCACCAGCTAGGAACTTGCACAAACGGAATAAAAGAATGCATTCCACCATCAATCCATTTGCAGCGTAAAGTTCAGCTTCACAGCTTGAAAGTGCCACTGAAGCCTGAGTCCTGCATATGCTCATCAGCAGGGCTCCATTCAAGAAAATGAGGCCAGAGCTTGTGCTCCGTCGTGTCGTTCGGCAATCAGCCCACGAGCTGTCACTGAAAGCTTCCAGAGTAAAACGACCTTCTGTTGACCATTCTGGGATTGTTGCTTCATTTTGGATCAGGTCGTCATTCCTCCAGAAATCACTCAAAGTCTTTCCTTCCTCTGTTGTTTTCAAAAGGATTCCACTGTCAGGCGTCCCATCAAGATAGGAAGTCAGGTGTTTCAGTGCTGCCATCGCCTTTGTGCTTGGTTTCGACATGTATGATGACAGAGTCTTTACTGCAAATTGGATATCCGGTCTGTCCATCGCAATGTACAATACCAACCCAAGACCAGATCGAAATAGTGCAGCCTGCTCGTTGTCCAATGTCTCTGATTCAATCACAAAGTCAGCACTGTAAGCTTCCAATGTTGCATGGTATGGGAGGCCCTTCTTGCGTCTTGCGCTCACCTTCATCATTGAAACCAGCTTTGGAACATACATTGCATTTGGTTGTATGAGGATTCCATCATCTCTCATAGTGATCCTCTTTTTCAAATACATGAGTTGCTCTCCACTGGCCGGACAATGGGGCCCATCGACTTTCATCTTCAATGTAGCTCCAATTGTGCTTTTGAACCATTCTACATCATCTGGCAAACATGCTAGGAGAATGTCGTCCACATGGATATTCACAAAGATCTTCTTGTTCAAGTCCTTGTGTCGCATCACTGTTGGTGATCCAGGGAATGATACCAATCCTGCGTTTTCACATATGGAGGCAAAGTGTTGATGCCATTTCAATGCTGCATTTCGTTGACCTGGAAGACAACGAAGCAAACGCCAGTGAGTGTCAGGTTTACCTGTCGAATCACGAACCCACTGAGGAATTTCAACATACATCTCATCTGTTTGAGGCACCATCAAAAATGCATCCGAAATGTCAAGTGAAGTCACCGAGAGGTTGTAAATCAACGCAAAGACCAGCAACATCCTCACTGCAGAAAAAGCTGATGTAGGGGCAAAGCTATTTTCATCAGTGGCTGAGGTCTTGAATTCTCGAGCCACTACTCGGCACCTTCTGATCCAAGCATTGCCTCTGAAACGCCAGTCAAATACCAACGTTGTATCAACTGTATTTTCTTGTGCAGCCTCTTCTGGAGAAAGGGAAACAGGTCTGATGACCTCCATGCGATGTAACTTTTCAAGTTCATCAAGGATTGCACGTTCATCAAGCTCTTGGAGTTTCTCTGGGCTCACATCTGGTGGGCCTTCTCCTTCACCATGTTGTGCTATGTATTCATCCTCAAGGTCAGGATACTGAAAACCATTCTCCAAATCACCTGAGAATTCATCCATCTCATCGTTGTGACAAATCTCAATGTCTGCCACTTGGTTCACCTTGCTTTCAAACTTGGCCGCCTTGCCCTTTGGAACAATAGCTGGATCATCATCCATCTTTTGCATCTTGGCACGCTCGTCAGTCAAAGGAGTGCTGGAGGGATGTTTGCAAGAACCAGAGGGAATTTCTGCATCTTCATCGCTGTCTGCAACCGGACTGACTCGGGCTTTCAACATGCTTGGTGACACAGCCCCACCTTGCTCAAACATCTCTTGTTGCCCATCTGTATCTGAAACATCATCCAATCCAACGTTCTCCCAAGCATTCACCTGTGCCAAACCATGTTGTTGTTGTTGAGCAACATCACCATCGTCAAGAGCTTCTGAAGCAGAGTATCCATCTGAAAGAACTTGGTCACGCACTGCTTCAGCTTCTTCATCTATCTCCTGTGGCATTGGACCCTTCAAAGCGATGATCTTCTGTTTGGCTCTCACCGCTGGTTTGTGTCCGAAGAAGTCCAAAGGTCCATCAGTAAGGCCAAGGATAAGCTCAGCATCCCATTGATTGTTGATCTTTCTAACAGCTTTTGTTCGAATGACACACTGCCCTTCTGTCCAAAGAAGATCCATTCCAGTTGTCTCTTCCTTTCCTAACCAAGCTCCCTTCTTCCATGCCGGTTTGTACTTCGATGATTTGGGGTCAAGGCCATACACAGTCTGACCAAAACATGCCACCTTTCCATGGTACGGTCGGCCTCGAAGGGATTGGTGTGGTGTCACCTTCATGGTGGAGTGAACTTGATAATGGTTGTAGAGCCAAGCTGCATGCATTGCAGCCCATTGCACTATTGGATGCCCATCTGGGACCACAACTTTCATCTCACCTTCAAGTTGACAAATCAGGGTTTTCTGAATACCCCTGACAGTTTGAACAAATCTTTCAGCCATGCTCGTCCTGGATTTGTCACCAACCTTGTTCGCAGTAAGATGTGTTGTAAGTTCAGATTTTGCCCTCACTGATTTGCAAAAGTTGGCACCGGCCACCAAAACAGGCTCATTGTCAAACGCCAGTTCAACTGTTCCATCTCTGACACTGCCAATAAAGGTTACCAAAGCACGGCCAACTGTTTGCGCATTGCGTTGCTTCAGAGGGGCAACTGCAGCATATCTCGACCAAACATCCACCATGAGGAGTGCAACAACTGCACCTTCCTTTCCTGGTTCCATGAAGAAAAAGTCACATTGAATTGTTGGAAATTCCCTTTGCGCTTCACCTGCAGGATCTGGAACATGAGAGTGAGGGTCGGCTTTCGATCTGCTCATCACACAGTATTTGCACCAAGGTTGAAATGGTACGTGTGTCAGATCATGGAGTTCTCTTTCCCGGTCACTAGGTTGAGGAGGCACAGAAATGGGTTGTGCGTCCAACTGCAAAGACTTGTATTGCTCTTGTGCAGCAAGAACAGCCTCTCTCTTCAAAGCCAACGCAACAGCCTTTTTGCATCTGTCATACATCCTTGTCCTTGATCCAGACTGTGATATACCAAGCCACCTGCAAGCATCACGCAAGAGCCGTATGGTGGAACTGGGAGTTACCACCAAATCATCATTGATAACCAACATTTCCTGTTCTGCTTGAAGTTCAACTTCTGGAGCTGCTTGGATTTCTTCACCAGGTTCGACTTCGGGCAATTCAATCTGTCGTCCTCCATCATCTGGCGGTAAGACCATTGGGTTTGAAGAGCTCGAAGGTTTGGACTCAGGGATCTCATCCCGCAAACCTGTCACACCAAACTCCTCCTGTCCAAATACAACATCACCGCTCTCATCAACTACCACCAGTCCAAGATCCAACAAAGATTGAGGTTCAACACCAAGTAGAGTCAGGGTTTCGCATTCATCTTCAAATCCAATCGTCAGAAGAAATTGATCGATCATTCCAAAAGGATTTCTCATTTCTTTGAATTTTCTGGATAGCTCCACCACTGTCCAAGCTCTACCTTTCTGGTGTTTTCTGATCAATGTCGTTCTGTAGGGCCAAAAGGGCCAGACACCTTCAGGGTTGATGAAGTCTGTGGTCACTGTTCGAAAGAATGGTGTGCCGCTTGAAGTCATTTCCCAGGAACCCATTGGGGCATTTTCAATTTCATCTTCCACATAAACAACTGTACGCACTGCAAACTCAGCATCGCCATCAGCTGCCACGCAAGTACTTCCAGAAACATCTGAAATCTGCCTCACCTGTGCTTTGATGGCAAAAGAGCGATTTCTGTACTCCACTGGTATCCTGATCTCATTCCCAGGAGATTGAAGACTCAAGCTGTCATTTGTTTCATCTTTGAAGATTGTCCAACCACCCTGATAGAGCTGTCCCAATGACACAAGACAGGACGTGACATTCCCTACTATAAACTCGTGTTGCAGCAATACCTCTTCACCTTCTGTTGTCACCGCAATCAACTCAGCTTGTCTTGTTCCAGTCGTTTGCAATGCTCCTCCCTGGCAATTTTGGAGAGAGCCTGAACCAAAGTTGCTACTGCTATCTGGTTGATAACGAGCTGGAAGAAGGCTGACATCTGATCCACTGTCAAGGATCACCCATTCATTTTCACATTCACCATCAACAACTTCTGTCCATGTGCTTTCTGGATCATGAAATAAAACCATACGCACCTGTGACAAACATGGAGATGTTGGAGAAGTTGGGGAAGTAGGGCTTGAAGGATTTGAGAGTGCACCGCCAAACTGAAAGATTCTCCTCACCGTAGCACCTGGATTGGCCTTTGCTGCTGGCGCTGTTGATGAGGTAGCTGGAGAAGGTGGAATTGGTTCCTGCTTGTTGTTGGAGACCTGGTTCACCATATGAGGACAGTCACGGCTCCAATGACCAAACTCGTAGCAGTTTGAACACTGTCCATAGGCTATTTTGCCTCTTCCTCCTCCTTTCTTTCCTTTGGCTCCTCCTTTCTGATTCTGATTGCCTTTCTTTCCTTTGGACTTTCCTTTTGTCTTTCCTTTGCCCTTGCCTTTGTTGGCACGTCCACGACCACGACCTCGGCCAAATGCCCAGCTGCTAGCCCATTCATCTCCAAAAGACCCACGGCCTTTCTGTTTTCCCTTTTGTTTGCCTTTGCCCTTTTCAATGCGGTCAACTTCCATGGGAATGGGACCGTCGTTGGATCCAGAGGCATAGTTGGGCTGGTCATTCACATGTTTCAGCACCTGCTCTGAAGTCCAAGCTTTTGATACACGCTCATATGAAGTGATCTTTTCTCGGATATCCACATAGCTTGTTGTATCTGTGATAGACAGCTGGATTTGCTCACGAAGTCGAGGTTGACAGCACTTGATGAGGGTAGCTGCCATCAATTCCTTGGGGTATGTGGTTCCACTTGCCTGCTCATACTCAAGCACCAGCTGTTCATAGTTCAAAATTGACTCCAAAACTGATCGATCCTTGTTGAAGCATGGATAGGATCCCAACGCCTGTGCCAGAGCCAAACTCCTCTGTCGTGTGCTTGGCATGAATTCCCTGTTAAGGGCAAACCACAATCTGAATCCATCTTTCATCTGGGCTTCTGCTCGAACAAGATGTGCACAACGTCCTCTTAGGTATGAGGTCAAAACCGCATAGAGCTTCTGGGACATAGCTCTCTCATCAGCGTTGTATGTTGACCAAAGGGGTGCATCATCTTTCTTTTCCAGCAAATCCAAAGCATCAGTATAGCGATTGTCCCCAAAACAAAGCCAGCTTGTGAATTGGTGCTTCCACTGCTGAAACATCATCATGTCCTCTCCATTGAAAGTGTCAGGAGGTTTAAGGATATGTGAAACATCAGATGGAAACGAGCATGGAAACGGTATGAAGACTCAATCATTCCTTGTGCCAACATGACCATCCATTCTGACCACGCACTGCCGTGGCTCAAGCTACGCATTTCGATGTCTAGCCGGAAAATATCAGCTGAGCGGTTGTGTTGCAACGTAAGTCTTTGACTGCCAAGTTTTTCAGACTGGCAGCGGAGCTGCTAAGGCTCCGGGGAACCTAACAATAGCAGAGCCCAAACGCTGCTGAAACCTTGCCGGTGCCGAGAAAGCCATGTCGGTGCTGGAGTGTCTTAAGTGGCACAATTTTGCTTCGAGTCAGCAGGAGATTCTGACTACGGACGGCAAATCTGGCGTCCCATGCTTTTCTGGAGAGGTCACGAAGCTGGCCGAGTACCAGTTCAGGGTCCGAGTCCGTCAGTCCATGGAGAAAACCTTGACTGAGGACGATCTCCGGAAGAGGGGGCCGTTGGGGGTCAGATTGATCGATGGTTTGAAGGGTCCAGCTTTACAAGTTGCTCGAGGGTTGCCAATTGACAAGCTTTCTGAAGAAGGGGGTCCATCTTTCCTTTTGAAGAGTTTGCAATCTGCTTTCCAACCACGGGTGAAACAAGAAGCCAGGGATCTTTACCAAGTAGGAGCACAGAATGGAGGCATGTTGTCTAGGCAGAGCGGTGAAAGCATGGTGTCTTACGTCTTGCGCAGACGTACCTGGCATGACATGATGACAGATTTGGATGCAGGTTTGACGCTGCCAGATGGAATTCTGGCAGAACAACTTCTGTCCAACTCAGGTTTGTCTTCGGATCACCAACTGCTTATCCGAACTGCTCTTCAAGGTGATTTGACATTCACAAAGGTGTCGGAAGAACTCATTGCCCAGCACAGTCGTCTACATGAGCGTGAGCACAAGGGCAAGGGCAACCACTTCCGACAATCTCTGTTCTCAAAAGGGGGCAAAAGTTTTGGCAAAAAGTCCGGATCTTGGAAGTCCTATCACGTAGAGGACGACGCTTCTGAAAGCTGGGAGAATGCATCACAAAGTCTTGGTGGATATGAAGACTATGACTTGGGCAGTGCATACTACACCGCTGAAGAGGCCAGCGTGAATGAGGCGTACGAAGTTTCTGAGTATGACATGGCCTCTGACTCCTTCCAAGCTTTTGAGTCCTATGCGGCGATGGTTGAAGTTGGATTGGATGAGCAAGATCAGGAGTCGCTGGATTTGGCGGCAGAAGTGATTCAGTCTGAGTCTGAGGCGTACTTCATGAGGCAGAAGGCAATGGGAAGTGGTCACAAAGGCTTCTCAGGACAAGGACCACGCAATTTCCAAGTTCATGGCAGTTTGAGTTTGGAAGAGAAGAAGGCGAAGTTGCAGGCGGTGAAAAGCCGTACTATGTGCAAGAGATGCTGGCAGTATGGTCATTGGCAAGATGATCCTGTTTGCCCAAAAGGAGGTGGAAAGAAAGGAACTGGCAAATCAAAGACCTTCTCATCGGCATCTACGACGGCGAGCACTCAGGGCAAGGGCAAGAACGTCAAAGGCCAGACAAAGCCTGGTGAGAAGAACCGCACGGTTTACTTCACCATCAATGAGTACGAGGGCCATGGTGCTGCCGATGGAACTTCCTATATGACTCAGAAGGAGAGCTACCAGGCAGTGCCACCACCGAGCTCTTTGGATCCTCCTCAGCCTGCAGAGGAGACCGCTGATGCGGCACTGGACCGCCTGATTGCAGAGGCGGCCTTCCGCCAACACATGAGTGCCCCGGTCTTCTTCGACCCGGCTGAGATTGCAGATCAACCACATGTTCAGGTGCCACCACAGCCTCAGCAACATGACTCTGCTGAGCGGCATCGACATTTAGATCTTTTCCTACAGACAGCCAGCCGTGACCATCCTGATTGGGAAGATGCCAACCGTGAGAGATGGAATGAGTTTGTGCCTGGTCACCCTCTTTTCAGTGCAGAAGATCAGCAGAACATCGCAAGACGGCAAGAGAAGGCTCGTCTGGGTTTGCCAAGGGTTCCTGATCAAGCCTCGCAAGCACCACTTCAAGAACCAGCGTCAGCGAGCGCTGGGTGCCAGCACAAGAACATCACTACACATGGAACAAACTCCAAGTCCCGACAAGTCAAGTGCAAGGATTGTGGAGTGATCTTGGAGAAGACAGCGCGCGTGCCCACGGAGAAGATGCAGACAGAGCACAGAGGTTCTTGTGAACACAAGGACAAGGACTTCAGTGGAACAACATCCACAACCTGGCAGTGGACATGCCGATCTTGCGGCCACATTGAGAAAGGCAGCAAGCGACCCGGACAAACCGGGAGACAAGCCAGCAGTGCACAGTCTGCTGCATCGGGTCTGAACCTTCAGGCCACCCCATCAGGAAGAGAACGTGTTGATGGAGGACACGACAGGTCATGGAACTCATGCAGACGGTTTTGGAACTTCAAGAAGATTTGCAGGTGGACATTGGAGGTGATCAACTTGACAGGATCTATCAACGCTGTCGTCAGTTTGTCTACTCGACAGCCACCAGAGCGGTTGAAGCGAATCCGGGTGCCCAGGGGTACCCGGTTAACGCGCCCGCTGCTGCCTCGACTGTGGGTACGGGGCACCCTGCCGAAGGTGAGACGCGGCAGGAGAGTCCCTCCACGGCAGCCACTGGTGATGGAACCCTGTTGAGGTCAGGCATACACCAAGGAAAGACGTATGCTTGGGTATATCAAAATGAGACAGCCTACACAAAGATGCTCATCTCCAAGAACCAGAACGACCGACTTCGAGATCCCCATTTGATCTCGTATGCACTGTATGCTGAGGACCGGAAGCGACGTGGGGGAACCAACACTGCCTTCATGTCACAGATTTTGGAGGAGACTGAGGAAGAAGATTACATGTTGGCCGTTTTGGACACGGGTTGCAACAAAATACCTGCCATGGAGACAAATGGATGGAGAAATATCAGCGTCTCATTGGCCGGGAATTGGAGGCAGAGCCAGCAGATGGACGCTTCAAGGGCGTTGGAGGAAAAGTTGAAGTTGCTTGCAAGAGGATCATTCCCATGCAGATGCTCACTGTGGACCAAGAGAAGATCCCTGGGTCCATAGCGTCGGTGGAACTCCAATCTTCTGACACTCCACTGCTGCTGAGCATCCATGCTCAGAGAACCTTGGGTTTGATTCTGGATGTGCAGAACAACACAGCCTACAGCAAGTACCTTGACAAGGAACTCCAACTTCATGGATACAATGGTTTGCCAGCAATACGTCTCCACCCTGGTGAATTTCAGGTTGGATCAGTTGCGATGCATGTCCAAGAATCAGAAGGCTCTGAAGAGAAGACACGGTCAAAGGTGATCGACTTGGAAGCCATGGATGACCACATCTCCGAAGAAGGAGAAGAGGAGCCAGTTGAGTTCAGTGGAAAAGAGGTGGAGGCTGGATATGAGCGTCATTTGCCATTAGCAGAGGAGTCCATCAAAATTTTGAGCAAAGGACAGAAGAAACAATTGCAAGAGTCTCTTGATGAGATGGATCATCAGGACAGCGCATTGTGGAGCACTTTGGCATCCAAGCCAAGACAGCCGAAAAAGATGCTGCCAAAGGGGTGTCGCACTTTCTTGATGGAACTTTTTGCTGGTGCTGCCACACTCACACTGATGGCCGCGCAGATGGGCCTCCCAGTGTCTGAACCCATCGACGTTTTGTACGATGGGAAGTATGATTTGCTGAAGCGCGAGAATCGAGAGAGGATCAGTTGGCAGATAGAACAGGATGATCCGTATCTGCTTTCCATGACTCCAATTTGTGGACCATGGAGCTCTTGGCAGTACGTGAATATGGCAAGAGGAGGTGAGACTGCAGAGCACATCTTGGAGCAGAGGAAGCAGTGGTATCCTGTGATACGTTGGCTTTGTGACGTCGTGAAGAAAAGATTGGCAAAAGGGAGAGAAGTGGTCTGGGAAAACCCATGGGGTTCACTCATGTGGTACTTGAGATGCGTTGAGCAGTTGATGGAAGCCCAGATCACCAATGCCCTGACATTTGAGCCACTAGAAATCCTCAGAATAGATCAGTGCATGTATGGGCTGGTTGATCCGAGGACAGGCATTCCCCACAGGAAGGCCACTGGCTTGATGTTGTCGTCACGACACATGAAGGAGGAACTGTCAGAGCTGTGTGATGGAAGCCATATCCATCAACCCTTAGAAGGAAACCTCACCAAGCAAGCAGAGCACTGGCCAGAGGAACTATGCCATCGAGTACTGAGAGGTGCCATGCGTGAACTTCAGTCTCAAGCTCTTTCAATGGCATTTCCTGTTGAACAAGTAGCTGAAGAACGAGAAGAAGTAGGCTGCCTGGATGCTATACATGATTCCAGAGACCTGGAAGAACCTCCAATGAAGAAACAAAAGATAGACCATGATGAAATCCAACGTGAAGAGATCTTTGGGGAGATGACAGATGAAGACAAGATGCTTCATCAGAAGGAGAGAGACCGGAAGACGAAGTGGCTGAAGCTCAACAAAGAGAAGAGGATTGCACTGCGGCGTCTTCATGCCATGATGGGTCATTGCTCAATAGCCACGATGACTCGGATGCTCAAGTCGTCATTGGCCAGCAAGGACCTGTTAGATGCAGTTCCACATTTCAGGTGTCAGTCATGTGAGGAGAGAAGAAGGGAAGAAGCACCACGTTCAGTGCGTCCAACGCGCTCTAAGGCGGAGCTGAAGTTCAACTATGAGTTAGCGGTGATGTGTTTGAGGTGAAGGATTCGAAAGATCAACGGCACTCGATCTTGAGCATGATCGACATGGCAACTCATTATCACATTGCCGCCAGAGTGGGTCAAGGTGGCACACCTTCCTCACGAGTGTGTGCAGAAGCTCTGAACCAATGTTGGTTCACTCCTTTTGGCGCTCCAAAGAGATTTGTATCAGACCAAGGAGTACACAACAAGGGAAGAGTTTATGCCATGCTCAAAAGACATGGCGTAGAAGTACGGTCAATTGGAGCTCAGGCACCATACCAATTGGGAACGGCAGAGAGACATGGCGGCATCCTCAAGCAGGTGATGTACAAGGCTATCCACAGCAGACAGCTTGAGGGGGCAGTCGACATCTCAGCTCTTTGTGCAGAAGCCAGCCGCACAAAGAACACCCTGGTCAACAATGGGGGATACTCTCCCATACAATGGGTCCTTGGGTTTACACCCGACGACCTGACCAGCCTCATCAGTCATGATGTTGAAGGAGCCCTAGGAGTTCATCAAGAGTTGGTTGAAGAAGAAGAAGAACAAGAGACCAGTCAAGAGGTCTTCATGAGACAGCTTCTCATCCGTCAATGCGCCAAGGAGGCATTCATCCATGTAGATACCAGCATGAAGATTCGTAAAGCCATGTTGACAAGGGCTACTCCTCTGAGAGGGCCATACAGGACAGGAGACTTGGTTTGCTTTTCTAGGCGAGGAAAGTGGTATGGACCTGCGCGCGTTTTGGCGCCAGAAGGCAAGTCTTCACTATGGTTGGTTCACTCAGGAGTCACAGTTTTGGTTTCTGAAACAGCTTGTAGGCCAGCATCAGGTGAGGAGGTCATGAAGAAGCATGCGCTTGAGATGAGACCGTCTCGGAAGCGCAGACGTGAACTTTTGAGTGACAGCATGGAGGAGGAAGATTATTTTCCCTTCACAGAGGATGGACAGCAGGCGAGATCCTTGAGAGCAAGAATTGAGGTACAAACACCGTTTGTGGATGTGAATCAGAATCCACCATTGGCACGACTGCCAAATGCAGCGCCAGGAATGGCTGCTATCCCTGGCAATGTATCTGAACCATACTCACCGACTGAAGCTATCGATACTCCCAGACTGGAACCTGACGCAGAGATGCCAAATGAAGCACCTGCAGTGGCAACGGGCTCAGAGATGCCTGATGATGCACCTGGTCCAACACCACCACCAGGTCTAGAGGAGATAGCAGATCAGCCGAGCACGAGTGTTATGAGCGGCCAACCGGAGAGTGAAGTGACCCCGGTGATGTCACAACAGACATCAAAAGTGACTTCAGAGGAGGAGACCATTCAGCCAGATAGGCCAGAAGCGACAACGACACAACTTACCCAAGCTCTTAGGCAAGGAGCAGATCGCTTAGATGGTGTTCCTCGTGCGCGTTTGACTGGCCAACATGGCAGCATGAATTCAAATGAGATCAACTATGTCCAAGACAAGGTAGATCGATTTTTGGCGTTTGCAGCGACCAGGCAGCATAGCAAGGTCAAGAAGTATCAGAAAAAGGCAAAGAAGGCAGGAGCAGGCAGAGAGTTGGTTTATGAGAAAGAGAGTGAAGAAATGAAACAGAAACTGACAGAAACAAGACGCAAGGAGTGGGCAAATTGGACAAAGTATTCTGATGGAGTTTGGATAGATGAAAAGCAATTGAAAGAATTACAGTCCAAGCAGCCAAGCCTAAAAGTCATCCCAACTCGTTGGGTTGAAGTGGACAAGTCAGAAGTTGGACAGAAGGAACAGTTGAAATCTCGGCTTGTTGTGCGAGGAGATTTGGAAGATAGCTCTAGGATGAGAACCGATAGTCCAACATGTTCTTTGACTGCTACATCTTTGGCATTGGCACTTGCCGCCTGTCGGGACACCGACCTGTGGGGCGGAGACATTTCAGCAGCATTTCTCCAAGCGTCCAAACTGAATCGGATATTGGTTTTAGCTCAACCCAAGTCAGGCATTCCAGACGTTGAACCTGGAATGTATTTTCTTGTCAGCTCCACAGTGTATGGCACGAAGGATGCTCCACGAGGGTGGTTCAAGAACCTCTATCAGACCATGTTGCAGTTTGGTTTTCGTCCTATGCCACATGAGGCTGCAGCTTTTGTTTTGAATGGTTCGGATGGCAGATTGGAAGGCATAGCAATAGTGCATGTAGATGATTTGCTTTGGACTGGAGGACCAGTCATAGAGAAGACCATGGAATCAGTTTGCCAGCACTATCGCTTTGGAAAGATTGAGAAGAACCATTTCAAGTATTGCGGCCGGGAGATCAGCAAGGATGAAAAGGGAATTCATGTCACATGTCCTCATCTTGTAGATCGTGTTCGTCCAGTTTATTTGACTGCAGATCAGCGAAAGGATAAGGATGGAAAGGTGACAGAAGAGGTTCGAGGTCAACTACGTAGCGTCATTGGTTCACTTGCATGGTTGGTTAGAGTTTGTCGTCCTGATTTAGCATATGCCATTAGCAAGATGCAAGCGGATGTGCACCAAGCTACATACAAGGACGTTGTCTTTGCCAACGGCATTCTCAATCTGGCTCGGAAGTCAAAACATGTAGGCATAACATACCCACTCAAAGCCTTCAAGTTTGAGGAAACCATGATTGTAGGAGTCAGCGATGCGAGTTTCTCAAACGATTTTGATTTCAGTGAATCTGGAGAAAAGATGGGTTTTCGATCGCAAAGCGGAAGAATTATTTGTCTTGGTCATCAATCATTTCAACATGATCACAAGGGTCAGCTGATGCTCATGGAGTGGCATAGCACAACTATCAAACGTGTTTGTCGCAGCACTTTGCAAGCAGAAACCATCAGCTTGTTACATTGCGCTGAGGAGACTGAACACCTCAGGATTGTCTTTCATGGATTATGGCACAAACATGACCAACGTGATCGCAAATGGTTGGTAACTGCACAGGACATGATTTCTGCTAACTGGTACACTGATTGCAAGAGTCTTGAACAACATGTCAATCAAGCTGGAACTCACGTGGTGACAGATAAGAGACTGGCAATTGATTTGTGTGGTTTGAGGCAGCAAGTGTGGCGCCAGGGAGGCGAAGAAGTAGGAGATCCACTTCTTACCGATTTTCTTCCAGAGAACCGCACCACCAAACTGACATGGATACCAACTGAGAAAATGCCTGCCGATTGTCGAACAAAGGCTATGAAGCCTGGAGCGCTATCTTTGATCATGAATGGCCAAGAGAATGATTTCACTTCAATAAAAGAACATGGGTGTGAAACATCAGATGGAAACGAGCATGGAAACGGTATGAAGACTCAATCATTCCTTGTGCCAACATGACCATCCATTCTGACCACGCACTGCCGTGGCTCAAGCTACGCATTTCGATATCTAGCGGGAAAATATCAGCTGAGCGGTTGTGTTGCAACGTAAGTCTTTGGCTGCCAAGTTTTTCAGAGATACGTGAAGCAGCCTGCAGTCCATCGTTTGTACTGCTGCTGGCCCCACCTGGAGTTGAGGCCTTCTTCAAGGTTTCTTCTGCCGCAATGGCCGCCCTTGTAGCTGCCTCTGCCATCGTGGTCATCCTTTGTAGGAACGCGTCCTACATAGTAGCTTGTTCGGTTTGACCTTCCATTGCATGGGCACTGCTCATCCCACACAGGAAAATCACAGCCAAAAGTTGCCTCTGGGTATTCATTCTAAGTCTTCTGGTTTTCGTTCTATCCAACCGACATTGCAACCTTTTGCCATAGCTCAAGTGGCTCATGCCTGCACGTAGGTACCAAACCAGACATACCATTGCAGTCACTGTGGAAGCCAAAACAGCCAGCTGCATCACCGTACATCCTGCCAGGAAACAAACTGCTGCATGTACCATGCTCCATGTAACTGCCATCAGTCTGATCATGTTCTGAAAGAACTGCAAACCGATCATTGATGTTGTCACCACGTTGAACTTGTTCTCGATGGTTGCAAACCTTGTCCAGTTGAAATCAAATTCACCCAGCTCTGCATGCTCACCCACGTCCATGGTCAAAATTCCTTGTGAACAACTCTTGAAGCTTTGCATAACCTGAAGACCATTGAAATTCTCTGCACTGCACGGTCCAGTACTGAGTTCAGATGCTTGGCATTGCAAATCACTACCAGTCATACCAAAGAAGCTCATGTCACACGCACTGCAAATCGATTGTAATGCTAAGAATGCGCTTGCTCCCCATAGGCTCAAACTGTTGATCTTGCCAGAACCGCTCTGAAAAAAATCATAGTTGTTGATCAAACCAGAACTGCACTGAAAGTGGAACTTGCCAGCACTGCTCTGAAGATTGTTCACGTTATGGAAATTGCCAGAATTGCCATGGAAGTGGTTACCACGCTCATGAGAAATGAAATCTTCATGCACTTGCCAACCATGAAAAACTGCATTGTCGTGATTGCCAGAATTGCACTGAAAATGGTTTCCAACGTCTGTCCAGCGTCCTTGATTACCAACTGCCGCTGTGTCACATGGAAAACTCATTGCATCAGCATCACGTTCTGGGCTCCAAGCGTCACATCTGGTTTCCAGGTTGGCATCGCATTTGTCATCTGCTGCGTGCATAAACTCAAACACAACTGTATTGGGCTCAAAACATTCCATCCAAGGTTTCGCATTCACTGTCACATTTCCATCCCATAGGCTATGGACACCCGGCCACATGCACATGTTGGATGAGACCAACACAGCAACGCCACTAAGTCCAATTGACAGTCTCAACTGTCCATCCAAATCAGTCCTCACAAACTCAGAAATGGATTTCGAATTTCTTTGCGGGCCTTGTCGTTCTTGTCCATGGATTCCAACAGCTGCTACCGAGAGAAGCAAAAGTAGGCACCGCAATGCCCTGGGAATAACCAAAGCTCCCGCTGCCATCTGAAAAACAGGCAACGTGCTCACACCTCAGATTTTCCACTGCACTTTGAGCCACTTGTTGGGCCACGGGCAAGCACAGATTTGTGCGTGTCATGTCATCCTTGCACCAAGAGACAGGTCATGCTAATCTTCTCTGTATCGTTTCAACTGCCTACAACCTATCACATGGGTGTGAGTGCCATGACTGAAGTTTGACAAATTCTGATGGGTATGTAGTAGAAGATGCCTCTTCGAATTGTTCCGCCAACTGCTGATACGCTAAGATCTGCTCCGTCACTGATTTGGATCCAATGAAGGAAGGATAAGCGCTTTGTGTTTGGCAATTGCAGGACTTCTCTTTTGGGGTCGAAGTCGCCATAAGCGAAATCCATTTTTGCTCCTCGCCGGGTTCCTAACCAAACTGGCAGATCTCCATTTCAGGTGTGCTGTCAAAATGGCAAACAGTTTCACGCTCAACTCAAGTTCCACGTCAGACTAAAGAGGAACGTCCTCACCAGAACCAAGGTTGTCCAAATTGTCCACGCCTTTCTGGAAACGTCGAAGGCCAAAAGGATCATCACTCTTCAAATTCCTGGTTGCTGCTTGTACACCTCCTTCTCCTTGAGCATTGGATCTGCTAGGCTTTGAGCCATCAAACCAACGGCCTTCTCACCAACGGCCTTCCCTCCAGCATTGGCAGCGTTGGTACCTGCTCTTTGGCAGCATCATTGCCTCGAAAAGTTCCGCTGCCATGTCAAAAGTCGGAGACGCCCCTTTTCACCTTGTTCATCGAACCACTGCACGTTGCATGAATAGTTTGCACATATGCTGTCATGGGTGTGCAGGTGCATGTGCCAAACTTTGACACATACACATACGGGCACTGGCTTACACCACCACCCCCCTTTTTTTGGTACAAGCATCGGTACGCAACCGCTGCGCATGAACGTGATGTCCATCAAATTTGACACTTGCACCTCTTTGTTCGGAACAAGTGGCCACGTCGTCTCCAGGGCACATTGATTTCGTTGCCATTGCCAAGTTGGTGTGCACCGGTTGGCCCGAGGAATTGGAAGCAACCTGCCGCGCTACGGAATAATATCTATTTGCGCATTTTTCGCCCCACGGTTTGCTACGGTGAATGCCAAGAATGTCGCTTTATTTTGTTACATTCTTTGACATGTCCTGTTAAAAACGCGTCCGATTTGTTCAGCTGAGCACACGTGCAAAAATAGCCGCCACACCAAAGAATTTCGTTGGGGATACATTGCGATCAAAAAAACCTCAGTTTCAATCTTAAAACCACATGTCTGCTGGTAACTGTTGCCAATAGTTTGTGACACCTCGCCTAGCCAACTCGAATCCTGTGATCAAATTCACTGTGCGTTGACTGGAAACAGTTGACAAAAAAAAACGCGCGCGCACGCGACATTGAAGCATTGTTTGTTCAGAGGTGGCGCCTTCAACAAATACCACCCAAAAAAACGACACGGTTCCTGACCCGATGTTGATTGCAGTGAACGGTTGTCAATGATAAATTGAAATTTCAATTTCCACATGTGGATCGCCAAAAGTGGCGTACCAAAAGTTTTCTCGAACAATTTCGGCTGAGTTCGTATAGGCAATGGAAAGAAATACTGAAACAGGCAAGGCCCGGTTCCAGGAATCTGGAAACGCATTTTATCAGGTCATCGATGCGATAGGGCATTTCTTTACGGGGGAAGTTTGCAGATGTGTCCACCAGTGTGTTGTCAACACTAATACTGCCCACATGATCCCAGATGTCGGGAAATTGTTGCCATTTGTTTCCTTCGCCGTTCGTTTGTCTCCCGGTTGCATGTGTTTGCAACATTTTTGTTTACAATTTGTTAGTTATTTTTAATCGGTCCTGTCCCTTGGGTTCGGCGTGGTTTATTTTTTTGTCTCCCAAAAGTCGCGCCTCTTCTTGTATTGGTGATGTCCAACTCTCCGAAGGTCGTTCCACGTTTGTTTGCCAACAGTTGTTTCATTTTTTTTTTGGTTCGATGCCGGGAGTGATTCAGGTTTGCCAAGCAGTTGTCATTTGTCACATTTTTTTGCCACTATTCATCCACTCTCCTTTTTCGGTGGCGGTTCTCCAAAAGGTACCTGTCCCGTGCCATCCGTATTTCCGCATCATGTGTTGCGCATCATTCCAATGACTCCGATTGGTTTCCTCTGGAACTTCGGTCCCAAAACTTGGTTCCACGTCGTCCATTTTGAACAAATTTATCTCTTCGTGGCGGCGATCGTTTCTTTGTTACTGTTGGGGTGGTGATCCGCGTCCAAGGAATCACTTACACCCACTGAATCGGGATCATGCACACCCGTGACAAGTTCGCCTTTACACGATGGAGTCGTTGCACGCGCTTTGGGACACGTTATTGCATCTTTATGGGTGTGATGTGGTAATGACACTTCGAGACCCGCTACTACATTAGGGTTCCCATGTTGTTGCACTTACTTTAAGATGGGCTAGTGCAGTGTTACGGTTTTCATGTTTTTGCATTTACTTTACGACGAGTTACTCATTGTTACGGTTTTGATGTTGGGGCACGTACACTTTAAGAGTCACCTTTAAGGTTCTCATGTTGTTGCACTCACTTACCCTCAGACAGGCCAGCACACCCTTGGAGTTTTCATGTTGTTGCACACACTTTGGGACAAGTTGCTACGTCTTTTGGTTTTTTGTTGTGTTGCGTTTACAGTCAGACGGGCTACTACACCTTTAACGTTTTCAAGTTGCTGCGGTTACTTTGAAACGGGTTAAAATTCCCTTACCATTTTCATGTTGTTGCACTTACTTTAAGACACATTACTACGACCTTAGGGCCTTACTGAGTCTTACCCCTTTACGGTTTCTATTTCATGTTGTTGCACTTTCACTACCATTGACTAGCGCACACTTAAGGTTCTTTTCTTGTTGGATTTCCTTTATGACAAGTTACTACAACTTTCAGGTTTCATGTTGTCGCACATACCTCAAACCGGTTGCTACACCCTTTCCGGTTTTCATGTTGTTACACTTACTTCAAGACAGTTTTCTGCACCTTTGGAGTTTTCATGTTGTTGGATTCTCGTGAAGAGGGGTTACTACATGTTTGGGGTTTTTGTGTTGTTGCACACCGCGAGATGGATTGCTACACTTTTAGGTTTTTCGTGTTGTTGCACTTTCTTGAGGACAGGCTACTACAGTTTGAAGGTCTCCATGTTGTGCAATGATGTTGACAATGATGATATTTGTATGGATGATGTTGGTGAAGATGTTGATGATGTGCACGCAAACGATCCAAATCAGGAAGGTGCAAGCAAACCTGCACCCCTCCTCGTGTTCGTCCTGTGGTGGTGGCACATGTTGTTTCTACCCCTCTTTTGAGAAACATTCACGAAGGGCAAAACGTGATGAATGCACACGTGCTGGAATTGCCTG